CGAGTACTTCTGAGTAGTTTGGTGTTAATGTTTACAAAGTTACGTTTGGAGTAGTTTGTGAGATCAAATAAAATTGATTGGGTAACATTATTGTGTTTGCATATCCATGTGCTGGAAATTTGACCAAATTTGGAATACGTCCTGACCTGATAAGGTCAATAGTGAATAGGTATCTATCTGCAAAGTCAGAGATGATAAAGGTAACAGTGAAGATAAGTTTTGCCCAGTCTTTGATAGTAATATTAATAAATTCCTTGGTGTATTCTGCTGTTGGGTTCTTTTGTTGTGTACTAGTAGTAGTTGTTGTAGCCTTTGGGCTAGTTGTCTTGTGAGAGAAATAAGCTAGAGGATAAGTAAAGAACCCACTTTGTTGTCCAAAGGTATCGGGGTCTGTTGTGTAGAGGCTTGAATTGAACTATTATTTATACTGCTGTCAACAGTTTGCATATTGTCCTGAGATGTTTCTGAAAGTGGGGTTGACAGGTCCATAGGACCTTCACCACTTGTGGATAGAAAGTTGTAAAGGGTGTTGTTTATTTGTCTTTTGTCCAGTAGTTGTTTTTAGATGAAAATGTCTATAGAGCTTATTGTTTTATTATGTTTTTAGCTATGCTGGACAAGTTTACTTAAGGGCCTGAGACCTGTTTAGTTAGTATTTTCTTGAGTATTCTTCTTTCAGGGTTTTTTTCTTTTTTGCTCCAGTTTTGGTAAAATTGATCTACAGAAAGAGTATGTACATATTATTAATGCTAATAATAATTATATAACTATAAAACTTATAAAAGAAACTTTATATAATTTTGATTATATACTCCTACTTTTTTGTTATAAAAAATTTTGTTAAAAAGTGATTATTTTAATTTATTTTTTTTAAAAAATTAATACATTTTTACTAAAACAGTTGTATTATTTATTTTTTAAAATAGATTATTTATAGTTTAAACTAAAATAATATAGCCTACTATATATACTATATATACTATAATAGAGTTAAAATATTATTAAATAATGCTTTAACAATATATAATTATCTGATTTATTTTTTTTTATTAACTAGCCTCTTTGGCATAGAAATTTTTATTCAAGTATACTGGGTAGGGAGCTCACAGCAGAACCCTAATTATATTAGAGAGTATAATTAGCCATATATGCGATTTTTGATTGCCTATTTAAATAGTTTGCATATAGATAACTATATACTATAGATTCTATACTAGCTGCTATATCTATAACCCAACTAGAGGATTACCTATTTAAACTCTTTGTAATATACACAACCTCTTATATTACTGGAACATCTTTGTTACTTTCAGTAGTTAAGAAGTTCTGGATGTATACCTTAGCTTGAAGATTAATTTATCTTTGAGGCATCATTGTTAAAGCTTTTTGTACTCACAATCTAGCTAACTTAGACTTTTGGTAACTTACACCAAGTCTGAAAATAAGTACTTGCAAGCCAAAACTGCTGCTATTACCTACTTCTGCTCTGGTAAAGTCTACTGCTACTCTAGTTCTCCAAACTTCTAATTTAAATAGCCTAGAAGAGCATACCCTTTTCTCTGATTCTCACTGATGACCTGGTTGGTATAGTGTCTTGCCAAACACCATATAGGATAACTTTCTTGTGATTGGTTGATCAGTGAAATTAAAATAATTCACTATGATTAGTTAGATAATATAAATTGTAAATTCAAATAACAATTACGATAATTCGAATAAAATGATAATTTGAATAAAATGATCATTTGAATAATTTAAATTTTTTATTTAAAAATTTTATTTAAATTTTATTTTTAATAATTTAATTTTTTTAATTTTTATTTAAAAATTTTTATTTTTAATTTAATTAATAAATTTTTTATTTAAAATTTTTAAAAAAATGAAAAAAAATATTTATTGTAACTCTTTAAGCTTTTGCTATAAATTATCAAGTTCTGTTATTCCAATACTATAAGAGACAATAAGTTCATCATTTTCAACTATTTCATTTTTGAGTTCTTCTGTTTCAAATTCTTCTATTCTACCTTGAACCCGAATATTTTCTGTTTTCTTTTTATTTTTCTTCTTTTTTTATTGTTCAAATCCAACAGACATTCTGGTAATTGATCTACATTCATCTTTATTCAATCCTGTAAAAATTACAAACAAAATAAACATTTCTGGCCAACTTCGTTCAAACATTTCACATGATATTTGTAACTGCAGGCTAGTATTTTTAAATTAGAAGATAAGAGATTAGTAAATACATAAATATCTGCTTTAGTACATAATAATTAATCACACATGATAGATTGGTTAGATTTTTGCAAAGTACTAAAGCCCAAAGGAAGGTGACAAGTATTTGCAATAATTTCAATAGCCAGCATAGATATGTTATGACCATTGATGATTTTTTTTTTCCTTGGGTTAATATTTCTGGTCTGCCTGAATTTAAATCTATTATGCCATTTGTAGCAATTTGACTGTAAATGTTAATAAACCGCTCTAATAAAAAACATGCTGCTTTTTGTATGCAGCTATTTAAATCTCTGTGACTCAAAGGATATTTTTTCTATGTAAATTGGTGCTCAAATAACTTCTTAAGACATTTTTCACATCTTAAAAAATTAGTAAAAAGTGTTTGATGTTGTAAGTGATCTGTACCATTATGCTTTTAAGTAGTTCGTCACAAAAGGCTGTGAAATAATTTGACAAGAACATCTAAATTTTGGCAAATGCACTTTTAAAATTTCTAAAATAGGATGGTTAATATTTCTCCAATATAAAATAGCAGATAAAAACATTAGTAACACCTTATTATAGTTATGACAACAAAACTATAAAAAAAGTATTCAAATCTGTATTATTGATTCTTCATATTCTTCCTATTCACTGGCATAAAAAAAAATTATATATATATCAAGGACAAGTGGAATTAAATTATCTAACAAATTCTTGAATATAAGATATTCAAGATCTTTGCAAAGGCCAGATATTTTTTAATGATATCTGAAATTCGAAGCCAGCCATGACAAGTCACCTCATGAAGCAAATTAATCTTCAAAGTTGAATATTAGTTCCAAGATTCTTTGTTTTCTCAAATAGATTATTATATAATAAAGAGAAAAATAGTTAATACTGTATATAAACAAGTTTGCAGCTGTTTAAAAATATATGCAATAGTCTGATGATAGGAATGAATGATAACATATTTTAAAAAATATTAGACTTATCACTGTTCATTAGAAACTATAATATTGCACTTCTTAAAATATTTGACCAGGCCAATCAGCCACAAGAGGTATTATATAACCTGAATTGAAATATTCTTGCATAGTATTCACTTTTCTAATAATAGACAAACTTTCCAAATAATCATAGATTATTTTTTACAAGATCGATGAGAATGATATTATTTAATGATCAATCATTCATTCTTTCTTTAAGCTGAAGATTATAACTATGAATCATTAATGCTTTCATAGTTTCTTCTTCATATTTACTTATCTGACCTTTCCATCATTTATTAAAAGACAATGCTATAAATCTATTCTCTAAATCAACCTTTAGAGAGTCAGCATCGATGAGCTTTGGATTATGAATGTTTATACTATTAAAATTAATAGGAATTAGTAAAGTTGCATTTATTAGATTTATAAGAATTGTTGCCATATAAATTGGGGTTGATGTTTTACTACTCTTTGGTCATGATTTGTATATATATTATAATAATCTTTAAGACTATAGAAGTCTCATAGTATTTTTCTAAATAGTTGTTTATTATATCCATATGGTTTTTGAAATTTTTTTTTTTACATCTAACTGTTTGGGACGTTAATGTAATACTGAGTTCTGCTAAAACATTAATAGTTAAATCACCTGTGCCTGTAGAATCAAGATAAAGAGCTAGATCACGCTTTATATTAATAATAAATTTGTTACATATATCACAAAGAATATAACAAATGAGTAGCAACTGAGACATAATTTTAGGATATGATTCACACTTTTTTTGTGACAAATTTGCTGATAATATAAGTTTATCAAAAAAAGCTTTCAAATGCCTATCATTAGCTTCCATATAGAAACAAAATTCTTCAAATGTCCGAAATGCTAACAATTTTTGAGTAACTTCACGCTGATATAAAACTTCAGTCATAAATTTATTATATTTGAAAAAGACATTACCTTCAAAATATTATTCTGAGTATCGAACACTGTATTGGGATAGTCTTCAATACCTGCAGATTGAGCATGTTCTTTCAACATAATCGAAGATCAAACAACTATTCTAATATAACACTGCTGACTTATCATATCATTAACTTTAAGTAAGCTAGTAAAGTTTTATTTTGCTGAGCCTATTCTAGAACAAAGTCAGTAAACTTTTTTAAGAGCTGATTAGAAGCTTCAGCACACACTATTACCGCACATTGTCATTCCTTAAGGTTGAAATCCATTTCTTAATGAGGTATACGGTGGATCATAGAGATATACAAGATACTTAAACTTTCTTTGTGAAAAGTCTTTGAGAGTAGTTTAACCAGTTTTTAATAATTAAAACAAAAAAATTTACTATTAGAGGTTGTAAAAGTACTCTAAACTACATAAATTTAATTGAATAAAATTGACCAATCACAAAAAAGTTAGCTTATATCCAAAAATTTCGGTCCTGTCTAATTTCTAGTTCTTCAGTTGTTAATTCTTTACATAGCACAGTCAAAGATCTGTACTATCTCTCTACTTAAGACTTGTCAAGCAGGATTCATCTCTTGGATTTATACAAAAGTTTTCTTCAGATTTTGTATAACTTATACATTATACTATAGTTCCATAGTCTTTCAGTATAAGATAGTATGACCAAAGCTACAGATCTAATGATCCATCAGATTATACACAGTTTGCTATAACACATTCTGTAAAATTCAAATTTCGTTGCTAGTGGAATTTGAACTCTTGGGGGTACAACAACTTACCAACTTTACTAAGTCGCCACACCCTTTAATTATCTGATTTATTTAGCACTCTAGTTGCCAATATTTACTAAGCTCATGAAATAATTATTATTATAATATCTTGCTAAAAGTACTTTTAAATAAATCTGCTATACTAGCTGAGATAAAGTAATATAAAATTTTTTTACAAACTAGAAATTTTATTCTAACTACTATTCTAATAAAATATTACTAATCTAATTATATCTTTTTATAAAACAAAAAATTATATATAATATAATACAAAATTAAAATAAAAAGGTAAAAAAAATACCAAAAAATTAGAAAAGTTACAATTATATATCTTGATTAAGTTCTTAAAAATTATATATTATTAACTAAAAGGTCTTTATTACTATTTATAATTAATTAGTATAAGAAATAAAAACTATATAAATATTTTTATTAATTTAACTACTTCAAAGAAGTTGGTAGCTTTAAAATAAGTAGTAGTTCAAATAAAAATTTAGTAGTATAGTTGGCAAAAAAAATAATTTAAATAAAAATTTTGTTTTTAGTTTAATAGTATTATCCTATATCCACTTTTTTAAAGATAATAGGTAACTAGAGCGACTGTAGCTATTGAATACTTTGTATAACCCAAACTAGTTACTATATTTTAGCTAAGTCAGTATAGCATTTTTACAAAACTTAACAAAGAAGATTTAAGGCAATTTGCAATTATGAAAGAGGCAACAATTAAAAGTA